CTATGACAAAGAGGTTTTTCTACTCAAGGCATCAGTTACCACATTGGCTTTTCCAGGTTGATACTTGATTTCCCAATCATAATCTTTTACTAGCTCCAACCATCTCTTTTGTCTCATATTCAGCTCCTTTTGGGTGAAGAAATAACTGAGACAAAGAGGTTTTTCTACTCAAGGCATCAGCTACCACATTGGCTTTTCCAGGTTGATACTTGATTTCACAATCATAATCTTTTACTAGCTCCAACCATCTCCTTTGTCTCATATTCAGCTCCTTTTGGGTGAAGAAATACTTCAAACTTTTATGATCGGTACAAATATTACTCTTTGCCCCATACAAGTAATGCCTCCATATCTTTAATGGATAGACTACGGCTGCTAACTCTAAATCATGTGTAGGGTATCTTGTCTCATACTCTTTCAACTGTCGGGAAGCATAAGCTATTACCCTACCCAACTGCATCAACACAACACCAAGTCCCTGAAGTGAGGCATTTGTATAAATATCATAGTCTACACCCTCTTGTGACAACACTAGAATATGAGCTGTGGTGAGTCTTACTTTTAACTCTTGAAAACTCTCTTCACACGCATCTGACCATATGAAAGGAGTTCCTTATTTGGTAAGAGTTGTAAGCGGCTTAGCCAACTAGGCAAATCCTACTACAAAATGCCTGTAATAACCTACAAGCCCCAAGAAACTTCTAACCTCTTTCACTGTCTTTAGACTTTGCCACTCTAGGATTGCCTTTACCTTGCTAGGATCTACTGACACACCTTTTTTTGAGACAGTGTGGCCCAAAAAGATAACTTGATCCAGCCAAAACTCACATTTAGAAAATTTGGCATACAGTTTCTTATCTCTCAATCGCTGTAGCACAAATCTCAAATGCTCTTCATGCTCTTCTCTTGTCTTGGAATAAACCAGGATGTCATCAATAAACACCACTATAAATCGATCAAGATAGTCATGAAACACCCGGTTAATTAAATCCATAAAGATTGTTGGGGCATTGGTTAACCCGAAAGGCATCACCACAAACTCATAATGCCCATATCTAGTTTGAAATGCAATCTTGGCTATATCTTGCTTTGCAACTCTTACTTGATGATAACCCGACCTCAGATCAATCTTTGAAAAAGCTGCTGCTCCTTTCAATTGATCAAATAAATCATCTATGCAAAGTAACGGGTATTTATTCTTCACTGTCATTCTATTCAACTCTCAGTAATCTATGCACATCCGTAGCGACCCATCTTTCTTTTTCACAAATAGAATAGGAGCACCCTAGGTAGAATGGCTGGGTCGAATAAAACCCTTGTATAGGAGTTTTTGGAGCTGCTTTTTCAATTCTTGGATTTCAGCTGGGGCCATACGATAAGCAGCTTTAGAAATCGGTGTTGTCCCTGGTGCCAACTCAATGCTAAACTCTATTTCTCTTTCTGGAGGTAAACCTAGCAAATCATCCGGAAATACATCTAGAAACTCCTGGACTATTGGCACATTCTGGATCTCTGATCGAGGGACATCACTGCTTTGCACTATATAGGCAATATACCTGGAGCATCCTTTTCTTAATATCTTTTTGGCTTTTACACTACTAATCAAAATACTAAGCTGGTGGCCCTCTTCGAAACTAAACTTATCGCCGTCATCCAGATTAAACTTTTCTTTCTTCTTTAGGCAATCAATCTCTACTCCATATCTCCCTAGGAAATCCATGCCCAAAATAGCATAAAAGTCGGGCATATCAAATACAATCAAATCCATAGGTAACATCCTTCCATGGATCACTACGGACTCCCCTGAAAGCATATGCCGAGTTACCACACTATCACCATCTAGCAATTCTATCTTAATAGACTGATTCTAGCCATGAGATGTAGTGTACGGTTATGTGATGATTTGGTGAAGTTGTGGAAGACTTTGTGTTGAAATTTTTGGAGTGTAGAGCAGTGATGAATTCGGCTAGGTTTGATACTAAAGCTAGTGAGTTTTTGGCTCACAATTTGGTTGAATTAGAGAGTTGTGGAAGTGTAGCCAACATGGTAGTTACATGTGCATATAAAGTGTTTGATGAAAATCCAAAGACAAAATGCATGCATGAGCTGGCTAAACCCTAATGAAGAAAGGGTTACAGAAAGGCAAGAATTAAAGTAGGAAGATTATGTTTGGGCTTAACCAAGTGTAAATGTTAGTATTCAAGGGTGCATATTGTTATGCCAAAATTTAGAATATCACTTGGTCATGTTAGTTCCATGAGAGAAATGGCCCTTGGTGTTTGGTTCTAGTTACTTGGACCTTTCCTACTTTTTGAATAGCACATAAAAGTGTTAGAAAGGAATTGCAAGTTGAAGTGTTATTTTGATATGGCAATTGTGATAGTAGAGAATGGTAGAATATGTCATGACATACCATTATGCCATAATGAATTTGCAAGTTTATATATGTGAATTTGAAAAGCATATCAAAGAATGGGCTTGATCATGCATATTTTTTGTACATGATATATATGTATAGCCTTGATTTAGTAAATGAGAATATGAAAAAATATGTTAGCAAAGAATGAGAAAGAAAGAAAAGAAAATGACTAGTAATTGCCTTTTAAGCTAACATGCAAGTATGTATAGTTTCTCATTTACTAAAGAATGCAAGTGTAGAATTTCCATAGCTTGGAAATTCATGTTGAAATGTGCATAGTATCTCTTTCTATTCTCTTTCTACAGCATGCTATGATATAAGGTTTTTGTGATAAGGAACCCGTGAGTGACAGAGATGCCCATATACACGCTGCCACGAGCGAGCGGCCACAGCAGAGAGATACAGTATTTGTACAGTTCGTCAGTCGTGTATGTGGATGAGGACTGTACCTAGCAAAGCATACCTACATGCACGCTGCCACGAGTGAGCGGCCACAGTAGAGAGATATAGTATTTGTACAGTCCGTCAGCAGTGCATGTAGATGAGGACTGTACCTACTCACATGACTAGGGTTCCAAATCCATGCATCAACCTAGTCCGATCGACAAACCAGAAAGAAGAAAGAAAAGAAAGAGAAACAGAGAAGAAAAGAAAGAGATACAACATAAGAGAAATAGAAATAGAAACAGAAAAGAAAAGAAAGTTATTTTCTCAGGAAAGTTTATTATTTTGCATATGTATTATGCTACTTATATGATTTAGTATTTCTTATGTGTTGGACGATGTACAGTTTTATTTATTGTCTTTGCACGTTGGTAGAGGTGGAACAAATGGGCCGGGTTAGGCGGGTCAACCCTAACCCAGCTTGCATTAGAGTGGGTTCAAACTGGACCACCTTATAGGTGGGCCGAGTTGAACCCAACCCGCATGCAACCCCCGGGCGGGCCGGGTTGCTATATGGAAACCCGCCAACCCGGCGGGTTGCTATTTGTTTACAATAGCCAACCTTGCCAACCTGCCGGGTTGGCCCAAAAAAAAAATTTTAAATAAATAAAAAATAAATTATTTTTTTCAAGTTTCTCCCATTTTTTTAATTCTTTTAATTAAACTATTATGATTGAACTCTTACAAATAATTTTACACAATAATATTAAACTATACTTCTAAATCATAAATATTAAAATGTACCAAATTTCATAATATTTGACACATTGTTATTATTATTTTTTATGGTACATAAAATATAAAAAAATTAAATACTGAAGTCTTATTCTTAAATTTCCATGTCCTGTATAAAATATAGTTCATTCTTATGCTAAAGTTTCATCAACTGAATGAATAAATCTAATTTTTCTTATATTACAATTTTATTGTATTAAAATTGAATTAAAATTTGAAATGTTAATAAAAAAAATTAATTTAATTGAATTATTGATATTTGAAAAGTTAACTAAAAACAATTACATTTGTTCATTTATAAATCGTTAATTATTTATTTGAAAAGTTAACAAAATAAAACAAAATCAAAAAATGGGGTTAACCCGACCCGACCCGCAGCCTAACCCGACGAATTAGGGTTGGCGGGCTGGGTTGGGCTAGCCATTACCCCAAAAATGGCGGGACTAACCCGGCCTGTCTTTGTTGGCGGGCGGGTTAAGACCAACCCGCCAAAAGAAGTAACCCGCCGCGGGCCGGGCGGGTTACTTTTCCAACTCTACATGTTGGTAAGTAGCAAATCAGAGTATCAGAAAAGAATGCAGAATATCAGAAAAGAATGAAGAATATTATCAAAGATTAAAGTGAGAAAAGGAAAATCAGAACATGAGTAACAGAGGAAACACAGTAGTGCCGTTTGGTTTACTTGCTGAGCAATTAGTGCTCACTCCTTTATTTTACTGTTTTGCATGTACTAGATGATTTACGACCAAGTGGGACATCAAGAAGCGGATGAGTTTGAGGGCACTGTTCAAGATTACCTTGTGCTTGCTAAAGTATATCAGTATTTTGTGTATATATTTATATGAATTAAAATTAGAATTTTCGGATTTTACATTGTGTATATATGTTTATAAAAGTTATTTAGTTGATTTTATCATATATTTCTCAAAGAATTACTAGCTATACAGTATATTACAAAAGGGAAATTGGATGTAGCAAATAGGTGGTTGGAACTGATGATCAAACAAGTGTGGATCCTAACATTTATACTTACAGCATTTTAATGGTGGGTGTTGCTTTGCCGGTAGAATTGAGGATGCAAGAGAGTTGTTTGCTTCTATAACTAAATAGGGGTATAGAGTTGATGTTGTTTGCTACAATACTTTAATCAATGTGTATTGCAAGAATAACAAATTCAATGAAGCTCATAGTCTTTATCAGGCATAGGATTGAGAGGGAAGTTGCTTGCTGACATTCAGAATCTACCCAAATTAAGGACTTTGTAGGTTTTCTCTCCATCCTTTTGTCTCTTGCCCGATACAAAGAAATAGGAACATACATTTTGGAAGAGAAAATGTAATAACAAATGGTATTGATTTGATTAATACATTTGCACCATAGAGATCTATCTCAAAACAAAGGTTTGTTAGGAACTCTTCTGCCGTCAATTGGGAATTTGACAAAGCTTTTGAACCTGTAAGATCAATTTTGCAAAAGCATCACTAACTTACATATACGACATATGATTTACCTATTGATCTCCCTTGCCTGCCAGATTGCTAACCAGCTGCAGCTTCCATGGCCTAATTCTAGACACATTAGGATCTCTAACACAGCTGATCAATTAGTAAGGATTTCAACTTTAGTATTCTTTTCTGTATTTTCATCAGGTTCTTTTGGTCACTTATTATTGTAAGGTTCACCTTGCAAGGGTTTCTAACATTTAGATCATTGCTTGTCCTGTCTGTGAAACTCTTCAGTGACATTCTCTACAGAAATCTGAATTCGAATAGCTTCAGTGGACCTATATCAGCTTCCATTAGTGATGTTACCAAACTTGTTTTGCTGGATTTGACTGATTTATCAGCTCAATGGAACAATTCCAGTCTCTGGTGAAACTTCACCTGGATTGGATGGACTAGTTAATGCATTGCACTTGTATGTATAACACATTTTCTTCATTTGCAAGTATTGTTTTCTAAAAACAACTAATCAAGACTTTTCTATTAAATTTGCAGTCATTTTGGAAGAAATTAGCTCACAGGACCAATCTTGCTTTCTGATGAAACTACAAAGATGAAGGTGTATGGAAGGAAAGGTAAGGGAGTTGGCAGTAGATAAAACAGGAGTTAGACAGGAAGATTCTTATTGTAAAAAGGTGTTAAGGAGTATANGAATGCGCTCATTTTTACATGGTTCAGCATCAAGCCTACATCCATGGGACCACGTCCAGAGGAAGCAAATTCACTATGAAATATTTATGAGCTCAAATACAAAGCAAGATAACCAAAGTTGTAGAACACTTACTTTTTTCTACATAAGAATTCTATCTTGTTTGGTTTAACTTGAAGTCCTCACAGCAAGCTTCATGAACATTGCAACATCTGTTGAAGAAGAGGATATCTCAAGATTCAATAATGAACACAGGACAACAACTTACACACAAACTCTCGTCACAATGGAAACAACATCCAAATAGGGGTGGGATAAATAATCCGAAAACTGAACTAGTAACCGAACCGAAATCTAACCGAAAATTAGGTTTTTTTTACAAACCGATTCGGTTTTTGGTTTATAAAATACAAAAAACTAAAAAACCGGTTCGGTTTTTAGTTTGAAAAATATTTCAAACCGGTTAACCGAAAAGCGGTTTTTAAACCAGTTTTACCCTAAATATAAAAGCAAAAAAAAAAAATTTAACACTCCTCTCTATTTTCTCTTCACAGTTCGTCTTTCTCCTCCTCCAAATCTAAAGACTAAAATCTCCATTCTCCAGTGGATATCGGGACTTCTTCAAACTTCGAAACTTCCACACTTCCAAACTTCCAAACTTCAACAGTCCACACCCACCAAATTGATCCTCTTCTTCTTCAAACTTACACCCTCCTCTTCTAGACATAAACCCAATCATCTCCTCAAGTTCCTCTACTCTCCTCTTCGATTCCGCCTTCTCCCTCTCCATTTCCTCAATCTTCGATCTCAAATTCGGCATCTCCTCATTTGCAGCGTCGATCTGTTGCAGCAGCCGCCTCTCTTCCGCCTGCCACGTGTTCCTGTGGGTAGCAAAGATCTCCACCACCCTCACATTTGCCTTCAAGTCCTCCTTCCTCCATGACTTCAGCTACCTCAANGAGCAACCTCAGCTATGTGTAAGTTAACAAAAGTTCATAAATCTGTTTGCATTATGCATAATGTGGTGCCGAAAGGCCATTCATTATTGCCATCAATTCAGCATTTTGCTTCTCTTATTCATATAATTTGCATAAATGTATTCTATTTCTACTAAAGTTCATTTGCATCCTCTAAAAAATATCTGGTTCACCGGGACATGAGCAATAATAGCTTTGAAGGGTCAACTATTCCACCAGGGTTTTCAATCTTGCAATCTTTGACAACTTTGTACATCTCTCTGTTCTCTCTCTCACTCACAGACACACGTATAAAGCAAGCATCCGTAACATTCAAGCCTGGAATGCCTAATAATCATTCTCAAATTTAACATCGCTAGTGAAAGGAATTTGGGATTCAACATTCAAGCTTGGAATGCTTAACAATCATTGTCATATCCAACATTGCTAGCAAAAGGAGTCTAAGATTCAGTTTATAAGGTTTGGTCCCCATAATTAAATAGATGTTACCTATTGGTAGGATAAGGATGGTAGGAGAATGAGATTCACTACTAGACAGGTTTGGAAGGATTTATCTACAGATAATCATACTAAACCTTAGAGCACTTTGATATGGAATGATATATGCATACCTCGGCACTCTTTTATTATGTGGTTGGCCATAAAACATAAACTGCTAACGCAGGATAGAATGAGAGGATGGACATGAGCGGAGGAGCTTTTTTGTAAGCTTTGTAATGCCACCTGGACTCGCATGAACACCTGTTTTTTGAATACTCCTACTCCTAGAAGATGTGGAAATCAGCTCAATCTAAAGGTCATTTTAGGCCCCCTTCAAGAGGCTGGGATGAAATCATAAGTTGTTGCTCCACTAATTTTGAAGTGTAAACTGCTTCTTGGTGCTGTAGTGTATTATGTTTGCAAGAGCACAATTTTCGTCTGTTCAAAAACAAGGGGAGGAGTAGTGATAACCTGTAGATTCAGATTTTTTGGGAGATAAGGCTCTGGCTTCATTCTTTAAAATTTAAAGATAATATGAGAGTGCGTAAAGTCGTGGTTAATTGGGATCTCCCTAGAGATTGCATTGTTGTGAATGATCATAGAAACTGATAATCCTTTCTATGTTGTTATTTTTATTGAATTTTTTGTGTAATGTGCTGGATGATGCCCGAAGTTGTAGGGTGAGTAGGTTTATGTTTGCTGTGGTTTTTATTATGGGAGTATTGGTATGTGTTGAGGTATGGGGGAGTTATCGGTGGAACAACCATAGCTGTAAATATATAGGCAAGGGGCAGATTAAATTGGGAGGATATCTAGAGGAGCCATGTTGGAATGAGGAGGATCTTTTGTTTTGTGAAGTAGAGGGGTCATACAGGTGTTTTGGTTTTTGTTTTGTGGTATGGCCTCGTTAAAAAATTGGCAAAAGGGTGGGTGTTTTGCAGGGTTTGAGAAGCATTTGGGTGGTATCTTCTTGTATGAAATTGGTATAAGGACTGGCTCCTCTCAGTTTCCTCATGTTTTAATGGGCAGTGACATGGATAACATGCATCTGTTTAGATTCATCTGGGCATGCTTTGTTATGAAGTATAATTTTAGTGCAGACATTAGTGATTTCGGGTTGCGTGGGAGTGTGTCTAGGTTGGTAAGAAAGTGGGAGTTCTCCAATTTAGGCTGTTTTGTCCAGATGATAATTATTCATCTTGTGCATGGGAGTGTGTCCCCACTTTATCGGAATCTGCTTGAGGTGCAAAATTTCCAGATTTTTGTTGGCAGAATGATTTTTCGCTGGTCCTGGAGTTGCTCTCATGGGAGATTTTTTACGGTGGACTGTTGGATTGGGCTAGCTATAGGGGTGTAATTAAAATGGCCCATCATTATTTGCTAGATTGGCCTTGTAGTTGTATAAACATTTGAATTTCAACAGGACTAGCTTCCAAAATCATTAAAATGCAAGTGGATATGCAGAGAAGTTCTAACTTAAATATCTACTAAACTCTGTCTTACTTATGAGATATCAATGTAATATACTAAAATCATTGTTGGTTTCTTCTTAAGAATATTGCAACTTTTTTCAGATATTTGTCAAAAATCAATTGATTGGCCTTTCCCTACCTTACAGGCTTGAGCACCACAAATTATACATTAATGAAGAATGAAGAGAACGACAGTTACAAATACTTTAAAACCACTAAAATGCAAAATTTTGATGAGATCAAAGCACGAAAACGTATTTATTTGTTTTCTAGTAAATAAAGTTCATCACATAAGAAACATTTTTCATTTGTAGTTATATTTTCCCATGGTATACATGCATGTAGCAGTATTAGTAAGCAGGGTGAGGTACAATAATTAAGATACCTATCAATGAGTTGATGCTATTGGCGAAGAGAGTCAACAATTCCAACAGCATCCAAAGCCTTCCAAGCATTAGTCCATAATAAAATTGCAGTTCCTGAGACCTTCAAACTCTCTGATGATTCCAATACTAAGCTGATTTTGTAGTTGGTTGTTCTTTTGTTGGTTAGTTGTCTATGTAATTTGTTTGCTGGAATATCAATACAAAAGTCTTTTAGTTTATGGGTTTTGGTTACTGTTACTGTTATTTTCTGGGTTTTTGCTTCTTGTTCTTATTTCGGCTGGTTGAGTTAGGATAGGTGTCTATCACTTTCACTTTTCAGCTCAGAAATGAAATTGATGCATGTGTAAGTTGTTTTGGACTAGCTACTTGATGAGTAGATGCAGTAGGTGTAAGTGCATCCTACAATCAAGTTTTTGTGTTTACTTCTGTACTTCAAGTGAACTTACATCCAGTAGGACCCCTCCAAATGTCAATATGTTCGAAGCATTGGCTTTTGTGCATTGATATATCCCTAAAACATATGCCCCCCTTTTCAGATATGATAGAAGTCTAAGAAACAGGTAGGATTGTCATGATAAAGAGAAATAGGAATGAACATGATGGAGACGCAGACCACAACTGACATGAGCTTTAATAATCAGCAATGAGTGCAGAATAAAATAAAGAATGCACTCAGAAAGAAACTGTCATTGATATATGAGATGAGAATTACTATTGTTTTTAAGTAGGTTTTTTGACAACTTCTGGTGCATCCCTACTTCACTAGACAACCGCAAAACTTGCAGGTCAAATGAGTATTCCAAACATCCGCTCATAAGTTTCAATTTCTCTGGCCNGCTTTACATCTTTTATTTTAAATGTACATTCACAGATAAATATTGATTTGCATAATCTCTTTATTAGAAGCAGCTTCTTTTTTTCTCCTGTATACAATGTATGAAGTATCATAAGATTGAGTAAAATAATAGAGTAGAAAATATTTGTTATAGTATTTAATTTAATGTTCAATAATTAAAAGTATTAAATAATAAAGAAATTACAAATTGTACTTTGATATAAATGTTTCATGTCTATGTATACCTATTTAATCCAATTAAGTAATATCAAATTATAATGTTTTTTGAATTGGATAATAAAGAAATTAAGAACAGTATTTAAACTAGAGTAAACGACATGTTGCTGCCCAAGGTATGGCAAAATGATAAGTTGCCACCCTTGGTTTCATAAATTCCAGATTCCACCCTTAAACCAACACTGTTGATTTTAAGTTCTGACATATGCTCTATGCATTACTCATACCATATTACCCTTGACAAATATATTAATAAATTATTTTTTAACCTCAAATTAATGGAATTACAAAATAACCATCGGCACTTTTAAATTTTCAACAAGACCCTCTCCTTGAACCTTCACCTCTTCTTCAAGATGATCAAAATCAAACTTTTCAAACCGTCGTCCAAATCACCGTAGCCTATTCCAAACCACCACCACAGCCCATTCCAAACCACACCATTCCAAATCTATCCCATTCTAAACCACCACCGTCACATCTGGTCCCCGCCCACCATGAATCAAATCAACCCAACACAACACATGCAAATAAACCCAAATCACACCATCAATTATTTTTAAAAAACAAGAAAGAAAAGAAAAATGGGGAATAAAGGAAAATGGA